TGTTATCTTGTTTTGATGTTCCCAAGAGCCCTGTGGGAAGGTATTATTATTACCATTTTACTGATTAGGAATCTGATATCCAGAGGGGTTCAGGGGCTCAACTAAGAGCCATGACTAGTAGTGAGGAGGGCAGAATTAGAACCACCAGTGCTTTCACACTGCATGACACCAGTTCATGAAGAGTCTTCCCTTACCTGCCCCTAAGTCTTAGTGGAGTTTCTGGAACCACCGCTGCTCCACCCTCAGACCTTAAATACACAGTGATCACTGAGAATGACCCTCGTCATCAGACCCTCTCCTACATTGGTCAGTGCATTTAGGCCTTCATCATGAGGTTGGGGCTACAAAGCTGTGACAGAACTGTGAGGTGTGACTGGCTTTTAGGAACTGTAGATTTTAAAACAACTTATGGGATATTTGTGCCTTACAATCCAGGTTTTTAATGCTTAGACACATCACAATTTTAGGAGCCTGTCAAAAGTTAAAAATGGGATTTGGAATATGGCTTAATGGCAGATCATTTGCTTAGCAAGTGTGAGGCTCTAGTGGGAGAAAAAAAGTATAAAATGTTGAGTAAAAAAGTAACTCTCCTGTCCTGTGAAAAGCACACAACCATAGGCTATTTATTAGGAGATCTCTGAAGTATTGGTTTTAAATTTTTATTTAAAATATTCTTTCTGGGGGAACTAAGTGACTGACGTAATCAAATAGGAAAGAGGAAGAAGTCAACAGTGTAGCAGCAGAGCCCACAGGCTTACTGAACTCTTTAATAAGTGCACTTTCTTTAGCCACTGACAAAGTCAATTAAATCTGTATGATAGCTAATCATATTTTCAAACATTTAGATCACCTAGGAAGCAGAGGACTTAATAGATGTATATTAGCACCCACATTATCTTAGGCTAGAATCTGACACTGTTTAGTGAAGTTGTTATAAACATATGCTTTATATAGTCCTAAAACTGCCTGGTAAAAATGTAGATTCTTCTCCTCTGTATAATTCATCAGACCAAATTACCTATTGTTCTTGTGAATCATGAAACATTATTTGGTCCCAAGGGTGAATTTTAATATTACCTGTGATAGTCTGATTTACACCTGAATCCAAGTGATAGATGGTATCTATCTATTTTATGCAGTGTTTCACATGATGGAAAAGAACACCCAGGGAAGGAACAGAGCACACACAAGCCTACCCTGGGTTAGCCACTACAGTGCCATACACGAAAGAAGTTGTACCCTTCCCAAGGGCTTTAATTTCCTTGCATAAGGAGGAAGTTTGGTCAGAGCTCTGATCTCTCATCCTTTCCTGTAGTTACGGGATTCTTGCTCAGATCTTATCTGGAATTAGAAATTATTAACTCTTGGTACGGTCAAATATAATGGTGACCATAGTTACTATTTGGGAATTTCAGGAAGGATCAAGATTAGGGGCTGGAGAGATGGCTCAGAGGGTAAGAGCACTGGCTGCTCTTGTAGAGGACCCGGGTTTGGTTCCCAGCACCCACATGGTGGCTAACAACCATCCGTAACTCCAGTTCTAGGGGGATCTGACAGCCTCTTTCGACCTCCTCGGGCACTGCATGGCATAGGTGCACCTACCCACATGCATTCAATACACTCATACACATAAAATAAAATATTTTAAAAAAGATTAACATAGGAAACTAGCATTTTCTCCTTCTGTTTCTCTCGAATCTGCACACAAAGGCCAGTGCTTCCTCTGGCCCACTGATGAAGGGACTTGCCTACGGACTCAACTTGCTGACTGGTCAAGGCACAGAGAAGAGCTGATGGCACCAAGGCAAGTGGTGGGTAGCAAGGATACTACCCATCAAGACCTGATGAGAAACAGCCTTTTGTTTTTAATTAAAAACATGACTTTTAAAATGCCTCATTCATTTTTTTGTTTTTGTAAAATCAAAACAGGAATTTTTAAAAAAATGAAAACCAGAAATAGTTTAAACTTATTTAAAGAAAGCAAGTTATAAAAAGCAGCCTAGAAAATTGTCCTTTCTAAGTCTGCCAGTTTCAATTTTGATTCTTCATGCAACTAGCATCAGGATAATATTTGGTTGAAAAGAAAGAGAAGAAAGTTCTAAGTGGCTGTTTTATGGCACTGCAGTTGTTTGATGGCTGACGTGGAGCTGCTACTGTGGTTGTTTTGGCGAATGAATAAAGAAGTCCTAATAGAACATCAGCATTCAGAGATCCTAAGTCCATACAAATCAGACCCTGAGAAATGGCCATGATTACTCCTGGCTAGTCATAAACAAAAGGGGGAACGTGAGTCAAATTTAGATAAAACATTAAGTTAAATTAAAGACAGGCAAATATTATTTATTTATTAACTGCCTATTACTTGCTGCTGCTTTTGTTGAAATAACTGCCTTTATTTTGTTGTTCTAGCTACATCTTAGGACCCTGTGGAAAGAACCTAGTACCTCATGGTTGCAAAGACTTTGCAACATTCAACTTTATCCATGGGCATTTCCTGATATTTCTTTGGTAAACTGTAGCCTAGTAGAATATATCAGGAATTAGTGTAAGAAATATTTTGAAAAGCTATTGTCACTACAAACATGAAAGCAACTTTGATGATCAAAGAGAAGTCAATTAAAAAAAAAAAGACTGAAGTAGTTCCTGAATCCTTCCCTATTGTTCATTTGGGATTTCTTAATTTCCCAACTCTCAATATATTATAGAATTTTCTGTGTGAAGTTTTGCCATGAATTTAAGTGGTATCAACAAAGTTTTACCTTAAGTCATATTTTGCCACAAAATGGAAAAGCTGCAGTCCTCCAGGGAGCTTGTCTTTTATTCTTTCAGTTATAAGAGTTCTCCATAGATGATGGTACTAAGGTGACCTTCAATGGCAATTAGACCCACACTGCATGGACCTGCACAGCATCACACTCCATCTAAGGATGCTTTTTCATCTGTGGCCAAATCTGCTGCATTTGTTATCTTTGTCCCTTGCTTTTCTCTGCTCAAGGAAGATCAACAGCCTCTAGAAGACCATGTTTGCTTTCTTGCCATCCTTAGTAAGCTTACTTTCCTTATCACCCCGGCTTCGTTCTTCTTTACCCTTTCTTTCTTTTTCTTTCTCTTTCTCTCTCTCCCTCCCCTTCCTTCCCTCCCTCCCTCCCTCCTTCCCTCCCTCCCCCTTCTTTCCTTTCTCTCTCCAATATTAACTGGAAATGAACCTCAAAATTGTCATGATAGGAACAAAAGTTTGGAATTCAGATGAATTTGTGTCCAATACACCTTTGCTACATATGAAGTGTGGTCTTATATGACCACTTTGAGTTTTAGTGTGCTGTCTGTAATGGTCATACTGACTTGCTATGACCATCAGAAGGAGTCAATGAACCATTTGTAATACTAGCACAGCGTCTATCACCTTGTAGATATTTGGAAAGTGTGTCTGTTTTCTCACCTAAGTATTTCTATTCTGTTATCTTATTAACTGTGTGACATGAACACTATATAATATATAAATGCATACATGTGTATTTATGAAAATAATTGTACTATATATGTGAAGTATATTATACAGGGAATAAGGGAGTGGGAAGAAGCTAAAGGAAGTCACATCAATGCAGTACATTTATTTTTTCTTACATCTTTATAGATCACATACTTAAGTGTAAATCATAAAGCTGTAAAACTTTTAGGAAAAAAGTAGAAAATCTGCACCACAGTACTAGGCAAAATATTCTATCACTTGGTACTAAAAATATTCTTAAGGGCAAAACAGATAAACTGAACTTAATTAAAATGAAAAAGCTTTTGGTTGATGAGTCTGTTAAAAGATTGAAAAGGCATGCTATAAAGTGTGAGAGAATATGTGAAACTGCATAATTCAGCAACTATTAGTACGCAGTATCTACCAGGTGCTGACATTTTCCATTTTGTATAATTCCCCTCCATGAGATCCTTTTGAGATGAAAAACTTCCCTGTTAGCCATACCAAATGTTTATGGTTTTTAAAAGTCAAAACAACTTATTCTAACTTTCTTGTTCTGAGTGTTACTGTAACGGCTGAAGCATTTTTAGCAAGGCTTCTGGTGGGCTCGATCTATGGCGTGCTCACTGTAACGCGGAGGTGGTCTGCAAGGCTATATCCAATGGCTGAGGACAGTGTGTTTATCCAAGAGTTCATTTACACTCATGTTTTCTGTTGGTTCATTGCTAATTTTTTTACTTTAAATTGTCAAAATTACAGTTAGTATAATTCATTAAAACTAAAGTTGGGTGAAAATAAGCTTGTCATTTGAAAACAAAATAGGTCATTAGCTACTGTCATAGACAGCTTATTTTATCAACAGAATGGAATTCAAAAGAAAATATGATTTATGTCTGTTAAGTAAATAATGTTCATTTATTGTACAAGGCAAAAGATTTATACAGTGTGAAGAGAAATCAGAATATATGTCCAATTGTTTCTGAATTGTGCCATAGCAGGTATTGTTGGCTGCCTACCCGACAGCCATTTCTCCTCCTCTTTGCTGTTTCTCCTTCCTCGCCTACCTCTGTCACCAGTGGGTGATTCTGACTGGTCTAGGCTAGCTCTGGAACTCTCAGTCTCCTGTCCAGGTTTGGGCAGGCTGGGCATGTGCCCTGCTGAGAGAACAAGATAGGAAAGAAGCAGGGAACACATCTAAAAAGATTTCTTTACTCCTCAGAAGAGTCTAGAAATGGATCACCTTCTGCTTGTGGATAGTGCAGATATGGGTGGGATGTGTGGCACTGCTGAAACCATCCTGAGAATTAAGCCAGAAAGGAGGTAGCGTCACCAGAATGCCAGAGATGCAGATCCAGAGCCAGAGGAACCTGCCAACGTCTTGTTCTGTGGGGTTCATACATGCCCCTGTTCATGACAATCCAGCAGGGTATTCTGCTCCTTGAACCCAAAGGATCCTAGCTGACATACTAGTACATAAGCTCCTGAAGCAGAGAAGGGAGTAAGCAAATGAGCCGAAGAGGAGGGGGCCTACCTGCTCCTGTGCCTCCAGTTCTTTGTGCTGTAATTTTTTCTCTCCATATCGCACCTGATTAGAGCGGTTTTCCAGTTCATCTTGTAAAGCCTGAAACAGTGTGAAATAAATACATATCATTGTTCAGTGCAGGAAAAAAAAAATACAGCTTCCCAATAATGGGGTTAGTGTAGAACATAATGGGGAAGTGTCACAGTGTAAAACATGGCCCAAGAATTCTTATATGAGCAAAGACCCACACAGGGGAGTGTGTAGGCCACATAGATATCTGTAGGAGAGCCTTCCTTCCAGTTGTGGATACTGTGTGCAGAGACTTGGGGGAAGCCACAGAAGACATTATGGAGAGGGAGCAGAGGAGAAACAATGAGGCGACTGGGCCATGTGGCATGCCACAGGTCACTGAAGGAGTTTAGGTACCACTCAGAGGCAGACTGGAAGCTCCTGGAGGCTGTGGGCAGGCATTGCTTTGGCTGCAGACTGGAGAGGGGTGAGGTGACAGCAGGGAGGTAGGTCCGGGGCTACTCAGTCTAGTCTACTGGGAAAGGGTGATGGAGAACTGCACCAAGTCAGTAGCAGTTCTTGAGCAAAATGCTGGATTCCAGATACCTTCTGAAGACAGGGTGATGCCCCTGAGGGGCTGGAGGTGGAGCATGAGAAAAAAGAGGACTTCAAGGAGTCTGGCCTGAATAGTTGGAAGACGGCAGTTGGCATTTACAGAGCTGGGGCAGGTTCTAGGAGAAGCCCTGAAGCTCAGCCTAGGACATGAATCTGAAATGCCTATCACTTATCAAGTGTCAGCCCTGGGGTTCAGACAAAATGTCGAAGTTTGGGGCCATTAAACATTCTTTCAATGTATGATGGCACTTGCTTGTAATTGTAACACTTAGGGGGCTGAAGCAGGAGAATCGTGAGTTTAAGGTTAGCCTGGGCTATATGGTAAGATTTTATGCTAAAAAACAAAACAAAACAAAAACAAACTAAGACAAAAATTTCAACATAAGATCAGTCTTTTCTACATAAACATGGACAATAGTTCTTAATTTTGGGGATGGATCTTAGACCCCTTTGAGCATTTAATGAAAGCTATATGGTCACTCCCTCAAAGGGGAAAAACATGTTTTTGATTGTTAGAGGCTGTCTGAAGTCCATCCATGGATAGACCTAATGCTAAGAACTTCTTTTTTAAAGAGTAATATGATTTGAAAATGAGCTTATGTGCATTGGAATCTGTTTGATATTAAATATTATAAGTCCACAATCTCACCAGGTCTGAGAATAAGCTTGGAAATCTCAAATTATTCTAATCATGTTACTGTTGCCAATTCCAAGGAGAAGAATACAATTATTTCTATGCCAGTCAATCATGCATCAATCCTGTACTTCTGACAGCTCTCAATAAATAGGATGGTATGGCACCTTTTCCAAAGCACGTACTTGTGATGAGCACTGATCATGGCGTCAGGCGGAGTGTCCACACATACTGTTCCGCCCCTGATCTTTCTTGCTCTTTAATTCATGCTCACATTGCTGTCAGTGATCTTCTGAAACTTAAATCTAATGATCTTGTCCCCCCACTGAAATGCTGAAGCCATTCCCCAGCATCCCTGAAATACAACTTGAACTCTTTACTGAAGCATACAAAGACCTCGGACACCTGGCATGGTAGAAGCCTCTGTGTGCTTGGGTGCTGTGCTGATGTATCAATACCACCAGTAACAACCTGAGAAGGGTGCATTTTATTTTTAACTTCCAGGACAATCCTTTCCAGCATGTCTTATACTGCCTTCATTAGAGATGAGACTGTGGGAGCTCTATATGGTCATGTAGCTTGCTCAAATCCATATGGCCAGCAGTAAGGCACTGGGCTGGCGTCCATGTTTCACTTCAAATTCAACCTCTGATCTGTGTTCTGCAGCTGCTATCTCACTCTGCCTAGTTTCTCTCCTCTTTGCCCTACCTACCCTACTCTAGGACTCAGGTCAGAGCTCAGTGTGGGCTCCTCTGGACTCCACCTAGTATTGAGAATCAATGTATACATCAGTGTGAAGCTGAGAACAACCCTAGCTCTGGGTTTTCCTGTCACCTCTGCAGGCCCAGTGCCAGCTAGCTCAATGCCTGGTACACAGTGACTCCTGAATCATGTCTGGGAAAGGAACGAACTCATAAACATTGGGACCCTATTCACTGAGGACATTTCCTTCAACCCTCAGAGCTCTGGCTGTCCTTAGTATGCTGCATTTAGCTAAAGGCTAGCATGTGCTTTGAAATACAGAATATTCTCATATCTTTACTGTAACTTCTCTATCCATAGTCAGCTCTGTGCATGCCCAGCACCTATTATTATAATAATATGCTGTCTGGTTTCTCTTACAATAAAGACGTGTTTTTAGTTTTATTTCACAGAAAAATATAGACATGCATCTTCCTTGTCCTAAACAAAAAACTGCTCCCTACCTGGAGGCTGCCTCCTACCTCCTCTTCATCAGCAGGCTCTGGGAGTACCCACAATTTGTCCTGTGTCCTTCTGTCTCTCCACCCCCACCCTCGCTATTCTCCTCAGTCTCACTTCTCTGGACACTTGTTCCCTCTAAATGCCAAAGCCAGAAACCAATTTGCTTCCTCACTCTGCAGCAGTATCTCACGCCTAACTGTGTATTTCTCTTGAACAACGAGGAGTTAATTGTACCCAGTGAAATCAAGGGGTTAAAAAAATACGGCTGCTCCAAGATCGAAGGCCGACTGCATGGAGGCCTTGAGTGGGTGCAGTGGACACAGGAGGTAGAATCATTACTGGGGGCTTGGGAGAAAAAAGGGACTCAGCTATCACAAGGCTTTGACAGTGAGACCTGGGGATATTGAGAACAGAGCAAGTCAGACGTGTTGGGGCAGTATGGTTTTGTCCTGCTGATTGTAAAGAGCTGCTGGGACTTCAAGGAGGACCTGTTGCTCTGATGTCAATATTTATATCCTCCCCAAATTCATATACGGAAATTCTAACATCCAAAGCAATGGTATCAGCTTCAAGTGCAGCCTGAGTTCCTCAGGTGTTACATAACAGGCCTTGGCTAACTGGCCTGGCTGAAGCCTTGTGTGCTGTGTGACACGCTGACTGGGATCAGGCCCAGGAGGAGAGGCCAGTCGAAGATGCCACCTGTGTGCCAGGCATCACACCCTTCCCAGATACCAATTCTGCTGACATCTTGATCTTAGAAGTCTCAGCCTCTGGAACTGAGAGGACCAGATGTGTGTTTACAGCTCCCTGGTGTATTAGGTATGGTGACAGCCCCTGGAGCTGACACGTAGATTAGCAGACCTTAGCAGTGCATGCTGCAGAGCTGGGTCAGCATAGGGCAGAGGGCTTCACAGGCAGAGGTGCAGATGGGATACTTCTCTAGGGAAGTGAGCAAAATGAGAAAGGTTCTAAAACCTGCTCTGTGATGGGCACTCTGAGGCCAGGCAGAGGTGAAGAGAAGCCATGAGAGCTGCTGGGGATCTGGAGGAGTGGGAGGCAGCAGGGGAGATAACATAAGCAAGTCAGATGGAAGAGTTTCAAAGAGGAGAGGAAGGCAAAATCAGAGCCGATTCTGTCTCAGTATTCTACATGGTGCATAGTAGACTATGAGGTGTACTGTATTTTATCAATATTATCAAGACAGAATTCAAATTACATTTGCTTTTCAAAACAGTAGTACTTAAAACTTGCTCACAGTTTAAAAAACATAAAACACGATCTTTTAAAAGGTTAATCAGAGAAAGTTATGTCTAGAATTGCTTTTATTATCTATTAAAAATCAGTTAAAAATTGGAAAGTAACCAAAAATATTCCACTTTCTTATTTAAGTGTGCTACATGAAAAGAAAATGATAGTTTCTCTTGGCAACTGTTCTTAGATTTATATTCTTAAAAAATCATTATGTTATTTGGGTTTGGACCTCAGAAGTTAACATAAGGACTATGTGAAAATGACCACAGCTCCTCAGTAAGTACAATTGGAGAACTCTCTTTTAAGTTGTGGTTTCTTTATTGAAAAACCATCAGATGTGACATTTCACATACACACACACACACACACACACACACTCATGATTTTAGTTTATTCCTAGGCAAAGCCCAAGAAATCAAAGAACAGAGTATCCAGTATTAGGTCAAAAATGTTTTTAAAAAATGAACATTTTTATTCTGCAATATTATTCCTCATCTCTTCCTCTGCTATGCTAATGTGTGTCATTACTGAGAAGACAATTCTTTTCTCCCAATTAGATCTGCCTTTAAATACCAGGCAGGTCAGTTTGCTGTTGAGTTACTGCTGTTCTTGACTGTCAGGGTGCTTTGTGCTGGGAAACAAAAGAGGCAAGAAAAAAACGTAAATGACACAATAAGCTCTACGAAGCCAATGAAGGGCACACTACACTCTGTGGTAAGGGAGAGGCTTAGAGGATGAGTCTTTGTTTAAAATAGGAAAATAATTAGAGCAAAGTCAAGTGTAAAAAACTTTACATGTTAACGGGGGCTCTTCAGGGTAAGGAAAGGACAGGGTGATTAATCTGCCCTTTGAGCTCATGTGTGACAGTTCTAGGGCTTCTCTGTTGGGCAGCTGGTGTTGGGATAGAACAGGCAATGCTGTTTTCATAAAGGTAGTAACCATAATTCAGAGTGAGCTACTCCCTGTCTTGTAAACCACACAGCAAGGACTCTGGTATAGTTTTATTAAGAATCAAAGTTCTTCATTTAGTTCTGAATTAACTAAACAAGCAGGAAGTGATAGCAGATCTTTTAATAATGAATAAATGAAACAATAGTTCGCTTCAATCACAAAGCAGTTAGAAAGTCATTTAATAAAGGAAAACTTTATTAGAGGAGAGAAACATTGTGTTGCGGTGACTAAAAAAATAAAATGTTCCCAGGGACAAGGTATGTGACAGAGGCTTTCAGACTTGCCATGGTACTGTGGCCAGAGTCTTTCTAGAGATTTCTGACCTTGGCTGTGACTACCTGAGAACTGTGACTCTGTTGCCCCTTTCCACTTGGCTGTCCCCAGCATGCAGATTTATCTCAGCTCCTAGCACAGGATATCTGTACCCCACGCTGAC